GTTGGTTCCAGTTGCCGACTTAGTCGGCAACAAAGGTAAAAAGGAGACTGGAGTGCAAAAAGCTTTCTTGTGACTTCGTTTAATTCTGTTAAAGTTGTGCTGTGCTGTTTGTTAATGTTAATACTTAGTTAGTTAGTTAAAATATGTTTTAGTTTCACTTTTTCAAAAAATTTTTTTGTTTTTCCCAATTTTGCTATGAAATCAGAATTTTCGAGAAAGAGTTTTTTAAAATTAATATTTATTAATATTTATATAGCATTGATTGAAATTATTTAAATAGCATTTATATACCTCATCTAATATTTTTGACAGCTGTTCAATGATCTCAACTGCACTTTCATTATTGCTGGAATTTGTTTCATCATCTATCTCACTAGTATATATTTCACTATCTGAAATTAGGTTCACATTTTTATACCATAAATTTGTAAAATTGTTACTTATTATTTTGTCTTCCTTAGTTAATTTCCAAATCATTTGGTCAGTTTTAGATAGAAGTGGATAGGTTTTATTTTGACATACCTATAAATTTTAAGTTTTAATTTATATCAATATAATGATAATTAAATTTGAAATACAACAAAAAAATAAAATTATACTTTATGAAAAAAATCACTATCCATCATTCCAATATAAGAAATCTACTTTTAAAGAATGACGGGCATGAACATATCCAACAGTTATGCTCAATTAAATATTTATCCTTATTTGTGATTTTTTTTGATGCAGTTTTTTTCTATTCTAATTTAATATCCTTGCATTATGATGATAATTTTTGATTATTAATAAGTAGATTATATCATTGTATTTGATCTGAAATTATTTGATTAATAAGGATAAAGCAGACAAGATCTAACCATGAATTATTGAACTTATATAAATAGTCATGTTTTATATTTGTCAATATGTTTTAACAATCATTATCATTAATAAAGGTGATATTTCTAAATTTGAAGACATAGCCTATAGTTGTCAATAACTATTATAATACCATTCATTTCATAAATAACACTATACATCAAATAAGTTATGAATATAACAAAATTTGAATATTTCTTGAATTGTAGAAGTTCGAATTTGTTGTGAGTCATTAATAAATTCTTTATCAATTGTTGGAATTAGCATATGCTGATGTAAATGTTTTTCTACAAGTTCAAGAATTATATTTTAATAAAATTGTATACAAAAAACTTTAGAATTTGTTTTTTAATTTAATAATATATTTCTTATATTTGTCTATTTTGGATCAATAAAAAAACATTACTGATTGGCTTCAATAACATTATAAGAAATATTACATGTCATTTTTGATGATAAAAGTTTTTGTTTAATAGTATGATTTATATATCATTTACAAAGTTGTATATTCATATCTTTCCATACAGCTTGAGCACTTGAAATCTGTATGAAATCTTTATCTGATAAAAATGTTTTGACATTATCGATTCTATAATTTCACAAATATAAAAACTATTTTGTTAAAATTGATCTCATGTCTTAATTTTTGTTGATGGTAATATAAAGATAAGAAACTAGAAAACCAGTATAGTCAATAGTTGGCATTAAAATATAAAGATCATATCTCAACTTATTAGTATTATATGTAGCATTAACCAGAAAACATTCATATGTTATTTTTGGTAAATAAGAAAAAAATGATATTAAAAATACAAATAAATCAATTGGTTCTGATAATTGAAAAAAAAATAATTCATTTCTTGTAATAGAAGTTGTGTAGATAGTGATTGATTATCATCTTGTTTGTACTGAATCATACTAGTTTTCAATTATCAATAATAAACCTAATCTGCTGTTAATGTTTTAAATCCATTAATTTGATTTATTATAATTTTTTTATATTATTCAGATGCTATATAATCCAAATTATTTGATATATATTCCTTTATTTCATTTGTTGTAGTAATATTTTCTGGCTGTATATATAAAAGGTAATGATTTATTTTAATAACTATAAGATTATTCTTGTAATCAACTTTAATTGAAACATTGTCATTATAATCATATCGACTAAGTCTTGGCATTATATCACATTGTTTATCTTTTTCTAAATGTTTTTAACAAAATCTATATGACAATTACATCTATAAATAAATGTGATGGATTTTTTTTATGTATAATTTTAGTATAGTATATATAATAATATCCATCACCTGCTTAAACATTTTCAATAAGTTTATTTACAATAGAATATTCATCAAATAAATTTCTTTCTTAAAAATTTAAGAGCTCAGTAAAATCAACACAATATTCAAAAAAGAATCCAATATTTCCTTCTAAATTTTCATCAATTTCAGGTATTGAAAGTAAAGAATTGTAGATAGCTTGTGTTAAATCACTTGAATGTATAATATTTTCTTTATTATTAAAATTTTTTTTCATTTTTTTTCTCATATTATCATTTTGAATTTATTTTTGTTCACTCCAAGTATTTGTTACAAGAACTTTTTTCTTTGGAAAAATTTTCATCTTTTTTAAACAATCAACAACTTTTGCAATACTTAAGTTCACTTGACATTTGTAAATAAGCAATAAGTAAAAGAAAAACTATTTTTATTAAAATTGATTATTAAGAATAATAATAATCATCATCATTATTACTAATAATTATTGCTGTATTTTAAATTTAAGCTCAGATATGTAACTTTTTTTTAGGGGGATACTAGGTTCGTGGGCCCCGAAGGGGTCCTGAAATGATACATATTAAATTCACTGCCAGATAAACGAGTTATTGACTGAGTAGCATTCAATAACGGTATTATCCGGTATCTTACTATGATCGTACCAACAGGATAACTCGAGTTCTTTTGGTGATGATTGCGTCCTCATCAAATAACGGAGTTATTTGATAATGACACGATCATCATCAAAATAACTCGAGTTATTCTGTTGGTACGATCATAGTAAGGTGCCGGATAATTATAAATATTAGTAATAGATTTGGTAATCTTTTGGGTTTTATTTTACAGTGCTATAGCAACATGGCATTAGGCTTTTGTTGCAAAATTTTGATATAGGCTATGCCTTGTCTAACTCTAGCTTTGGCCCTAATTAAAGACCTTATTTTTGAACAAAGAGAATTGGTTTGATTTTTTTTGATTTACAGATTACACCAATCTTGTATTTACATATAAAGTAGCACTACAGTGCTGTACCTTCATGCGTATAATATTTGTAACTTTTAGTGTCCTTAACAACATCACTAGCATTGTTTTTATTTTGTTTTATTTTTTTACAAACGCGTCTTATTTATCTGCATCAATTTAATTGGCTGCACATTGTGACAGGTATAGTACAGTCCATTTTTATGCAGAATATCTTGTAACATTAAAGCACATTAAAGCAGTTGAAAAATAAACGCGATAATCGTGAATTTCTTTATGAAGCTATAACCAAATTTGAGACTTATAAAAAATGGAAAGAAAAAAAGACAAGTTAAATAATAATATTAGTTATATAACTCATAAACAATGAAGAAATAATAGAGGTCCACAATATATGGGACCCCCATAGCAAAAGGAGGGGATGGGCCAAAAAAATTTTTTTTAAAAAAATTCAATATCTTGAAGAATTAGATTGATTAGAATAAAATTAGCATAAGAATAAATTTTCTAATTTTTTGGCCCATCCCCTTTTGTTAACTGCTTTGAATAAAAAGGACCTTGCAAGTTTGTTATCGACTTCGAGTAAAGATATTGATTTTGAAAACTTGTCATCGACTTCAAGTAGAGATTCATATGTATAGTATCTTAAACAATTTGTCATCGACTTCAAGTAAAGATATTAATCTTGAAAAGTTTGTCATCAAAGATCAATATAGAATCTTGAACAGCTTGTCATCAACTTCGAGTATAAGTCTATAAAGTATCTTGAAAATTTTGTCAGCAACTTGCATAAGATCTGTCCTTGGTTTCAAGATATTAGATTCTGAAATATGTCACCGACTTTAAGTGAAGATACTGATCTTGAAAGTTTGTTATCTCTTGACTTCAAGTAAAGGTATTAGATCTTGAGCAGTTTGTTATTAGAATTCGAGTAAAGACACTGGGTCTTGAATAACTTCGAGTAGAGATCTGTATAGTACAAGTCACTTTCATCATAATGAAATCTCGATATAGTGAAAACTAAGTGAAATCTCGATTTAGTGAAAACCAAGTGAAATCTCGATATAGTGAAAACTAAGTAAAAACTTGATATAGCAGTTAAGCTCAAAGCGATTTATATAAAATTCTCTCATTATAGTGAATTTTTAAAAAAAATTTATTAATGGAACGGATTACTTCACTATAACGAGAGTGACTTGTATCTTGGACAGTTTGTCACTAACTTCAAGTAGAGAACCTGAACAGTTTTTTAGTGATTTGAGTAAAGATTATATCTTGAAAAGTTTGCCATTGGCTTTAAGATGTCATAACTTGAAGTTTTTAACGATTAAGCAGAGATTTGATTAATATTGAATTTTAAAATTGCTGTTTTTGTTAGACATTAATATAATTATTTATTTTGAATAATTCGCAAACGATCGAGTACATTTTGGGCAAAAATAATGAAATTATTCCATGTTTTTTCGCAACAGTTGAAACCTATGAAAAGCAAATGATTCGTGGCTGTTTAGATGAGATATTAAATCCAAGGTAAAAATCTCAATTCGATATATATTCAACCTACATTTTGAGATTAGTCTTTGTACTAAATTTGTCATTAGACCAAGATCCATCCATGGAAGAATGAACAATGATTATTTGTTGACTTTATAAAAGGCTTACACTTAGAACATGCGGGTAATCTAACTTATGGTGATCTGTAATTTTCAGGAGTGAAGTTTCGGCGTCAATATCTTACAAATTAGTGTTAATACACAAAGTAAGTTTTACCGTTAAGTTTATAAATGTTAAATGGTAGTGATCGATCTCTCTTACCAATTAATCAGAGCAGAGTAAGGGATATCTATTGTCCAGTCTTTTATGTGTCTCGCATTATTTTACGTGGGCTTCATACATTGATATATACATATAGAACAAAATCAACAATATCCCAGCAATAAGAACAAATCGCCTTTTTTTTATATGGTAACTCAATACTTTAAACGTTAAACTGCCTCCTGCACTCTAGTAAACATGCATGTAAAATTTCTATAACATTTAATTTTTAATAAGGATCACTAACACGTTATACAGCTCACTTTCGCTAGGACGAATTGATCGGACCGGGAAATTCCGTCCATCACAATGAATATCCGTTATAGCATTATCATTATAATAGAAATTTTAAATTGTTCTAGAGAATCGCTCCATTATAGTGAAGGATCCACTATTACGATCATAGGCAGAAGTTTGTCTGATTGGCTAATAAATTCAATTTAATTTTACAGTTTAGAGTACTTTTTAAAAAAAAAACGAAAACTAATCATAATGAATAAAAAAAAAGCAGTATAGAAGGTTTCATTAGAGCTGCAGGACTCCATAGCCAAAAATAAGATCTAATTCACGTTCGTTTAAAAAAGCTAGTATAGTAATAGCTTCTCAAAACCCGATAAAATCAACTTATTACTAAGCTAATTTTTTTAAACGGACGAGAATTGGATCTTATTTTTGCCTATGAAGCCTACAGCTCTAATAAACCTTCTATATAGTTTTTTTACTTTATTATGAGTGGTTTTAGTTTTTTTAAAAAGCACACTAAACTTTATAAATAATGTTAAAATCAGCCAATCAGACGAACTTCTGCCTATGACTATTACGAGGGTGAACTGTATACTGTAAAATAGGGATTGGAATCACCTAAAACATTTTAATCGTTTGTTTAATTTGGCCGGCATTAAAATAATTCCGGCCCATGACCAACATAATTCTGCCCGGAACTATGGAGCAATTTCTAAACGGTTAAACCCTACTGCAAAAGATTCTTTAAAAAATTTTAGATCCACATTTTTTTCTTTTGCATAAATAGTATCAACTATTTCCTTCTATTGTTTCAACTATAACAGGGGTCCTTTACCTAACTTTATGTTTACGTATTTCGCCATGATGCTTCAAATGGTTAATGAAAATTTCTTTTTCGCATGCCAATTTGTCGATGTTTTTATAGCTCGCTCATATTATTATACTGCCGAAATCATTATTAAAAGTGTTATTATATGGGCAGCCGTCAATAGAATAAGGCAGATTGACATTTGAAAAAAAATTTACCTTAACTTTCATAGCCATATCTCGATGGATTTTGATGATTAAATATTCAAAAGAACACTTAGATCGTAAGCTTTCTTTTGACTATTAAATCATCAAGATAGCATCAAAATCCATCGAGATATGGGCTATGAAAGTTAAGGTAAATTTTTTTTTTCAAATGTCAATCTGCCTTATTTCTATTGACGGCTGCCCATAGACATTTTAAAAGTGAATTCCATGTCTTGATAATATAGATGTAGACCACTAATTACAACTCAATTGCGTTTTACAGGACGTAACTAGATGATGTCATAAGTCTACATCTATACTTGATAATAAGTTCAATTAATAGTATTTTGATACAGTATACCCTAAAATTTGGATGTTCAAATTTATATCTTATCATGTGGGTTGCATAGTGACATATTTCATGTGATTACACTCGTATTAGATTAAAATGTAATACCGTAAATTTCCTAATTAAAAAATCTTGTTGATCGGTTTATATTACATAGTACATACATAACTATATAAGTAACCCAAGAGTTCCGTTATCATATCAAGAACATTTAATCATCTTTCCATTTTCGAGATTTTTTTTTTTTACGTATGGTTTTTGATTTCACTCCTGTTTTGAGCTCAAGTACAAATCGTCATTGTAACTTTCTTGTTGAGCGGAAAAAGAATCTATTTTCTTTTTCCCCAACAGGCAGCAGTACGAGCGAGGAAGAGATCGACTATAGTGTCGAAAATCCGACCCAGAAAACTGATTTTGGAAATAAAATGATCAATTTCTTTCCTTCGCCAGTACCTGTCACTGCGAGTGTATTTGAGCGTGGTATAATTTTCGCTATCTCATTATACGCTAGCATGAGACTCGTCAAAATAATGGCTGCAAATGAAGTTGGACGCATTGAAAGTCTAGGTAATGTTAAAGTAGCTTTATCCTTAAAAATTTTTTATTTCTTATTAATTTTAAATGGATTACAAAAAATTAGATTTAATTTTGCTTGCAATTTGGACTTGGTGTGTCTATTCTTTTGATTTACCGTTTTCAAACAAAGATGAAAAACTCTCTCATATGATTTGGGGAACAGATGAAAAATGTTATAGGTATTATTTTATTCTTATTATTATGATATATTTAAACCCATTTCTCAAATTATTATCATTAAAAATGCAGAAATGATGTCGATGATGGTGCATTTTATGGTACTTTATTGGTTCCTACCGTAGCTGCTGCCAAGTTAGTAGATATTCACCGTTCAACAAGTGTGCATGATGACATAAACATCGGTATGAAAGATGATTTATTGATCTAGGGTGAGCGGGCCATATAGGTGGTCATAATCTTGGGTTCTTGACGTGGCCCATATTCGATAAACGACAACATTAAGTTTTGGATTTTTCTTTTTATGAATATCAATTAGAATTTTTCGAAGCAAATTTTGAACTTTGCATTGTTATGGGATGTGGAATTTTGATTCATATGTTTATGTCTAAACACGTTAATTTACCTAATATGTCCGTCATTTGGGCGATGACCATAGTTACTCTTTTATCTATAATGTTGGTTATATCAATGGCTTCTTTAGGGCTCTTACCTTTGTTCGAAAGTAAGTTTCAAGTAATAATTAATCATAATAATAAGTAATTAGAATACGCTATTTAATAATTATTATTAACAATAGTTATCAATAATAGTTAATAATTATAATTATTCTCATTCTCATTATTATTATTATCTTCTATATTAAAAGTCTTATTCGTGTTATAGTAAAATCATAATTTATTAACTTACCTTTTAACGATAGAATTTCCGTGGCAACATATATTATTTTCTCAAATCTTTTATCAGACATCATTATACTCAATTGCATTATTATTAAAAAAGAACTTCACGTTTGGCGAATTAGCGGTTGTCGCTCAAGCAATTACATTGCTTGCTGTAGAATTATGGGTCATTACTGTTAAAAAGGTTTGGCTCATGACATATCATGGTTTTGCATGTGTGAAACGTTATTTATTAATCTTTTTTAAATGTGCAATATAGTTTAAACTTATAAAGATTCCGTCATTAAATCACCATTTTCCAGGCGATATTACCATCTTCCAAATTGCCTTAGTTTTAGGAATGTTCCTGATAGGAATCATTCTCTCGCCCTTACTAGTATATTCAAGGAATTTAGCTCAACGTCCAGCATGGAAAAACAAACGTAAACGTGTTTTTCATAATGGTCGGAAATGGACTTCTTTTGCCATATTTATTGGTACATCGTTGATTGTTGCGTTTATAGGCCATTGCATACAGTTCTTCTTGTCTGAAAATCCTTATGTTTGGTTAGTGCTTGTTTTCAAATTTAATTATTTTATTATTAATTTTACCAATGATATAGTATTCATGGTTTATTATTCACTTTTCCATGATATTCATGATTTTAGGATACTATATTATGTTCTCAAAACACCTACAAGAATATTGTTATGCCTGTACTGGACTATTATAATTCTAATTTCAATTATACTATTCACACACATACCACAAACACGAAGAATATATTCGTTAAACACAAAACGAAAATATTTTCATTTTCTAACCGTAATTATGTTTATTCCTGGATATTTGTTTGAGGTATATGAATAATTTGGATGCATTATGTTCTTTTAATATGTATGATATTTACTTGTAAATTTTTCTAGCCCGAGTTCATGCATTTGGCATTTAGTGTGGCACTTTCTGCTTTCGTATTTTTGGAATATTTGCGGTATTTTGCTGTATACCCCTTAGGAAAAAATATACACATTTTTCTAAGTGAATTTTTAGATAACCGTGATTCAGGTCCTTGTATTTTAAGCCATTTATACTTACTAATTGGATGTGCTGCATGCATCTGGATGCAAGGGTAGGTTGATTACTTTTCATGATTAAGTAGAAGTAGAACAAAGTAACATTTTGGCATTTTCATATTTGTTATGCATATGTATTGTTTAAGAATCTTGTTGGGAACACAATTTATTTGAATGTTTTGAATTGGTTTAACCCTTGTCTTTATATAGGACTTCCATCCTAGCAAATATGTCAGGCATTCTAACCTTGGGTCTAGGTGATGCTATGGTTTGTCTTCAATATCTTTAGCTTACCAATATTTATTGATTATCAAAGAACAAATAATAAGCAAAATTTATTTTCATTTTCATTAGGCGTCTATAGTTGGTAAACGTTATGGTCGTAGACGTTGGCCTGGAACATCAAAGACAGTTGAAGGAACCATTGCGTTTATTATATTCCATTTATTGGGCGCATTTGCCGTGACCCGGTTATGGTCAAGGAATAATTTATTGCCAAGCATAGAAGAGGTATTAAATTGGTATTACTTATTTTATTTTAAACATAATTCATTATAGCTTAAATATTGGTTGATGATAATTTTATAGTGGTTATATTATACGCTTGCTGTCTCAATTACAGGTAAGTTTTAATTTGCAACTAAGTAATTAATTTATTTAAATGCTGATGATTTTTTTATATAGCTTTTTTAGAAGCCGTTTCATACCAAAATGATAATCTTATGATTCCATTGTTTATGTGGACTTTAACATGCTTATTAATATGATGTGATTTACAGACAAAAACAATTTTTTTAGAGTATTTTTAATTTCTTACATTTTTGCATTGTTTAACTCATTGAAATTTTTTCATTAAACCAATAAATTCACGCATTGTATATTTAGAACATAGTAATTTATGTATTTTTTAGTTGTGGTTAAGGTTATTTATATAGTGATAAAAAATTTTTTTAATCGTCATATTATTCAATATATTTATTAATTTATCATAAATGTACTACATATTCTGTTGGTAAAGGATATTACATAATATTGAGATAGCAGAAAACGAATGCCGATTTATTAATATGTAAAAAAAACTACCATATGTAATAGCGAATAAATATTAATTTCTCTTGATATTCTTTGAGCGTTAATATTTTGTTAGTATACATAAAATCGAGATAATTGACATGACTTGATTATTTAGTCTACATCTAAGAGTAGTTTTTAATTTCATTTATATCTGAACCTTCCATGCTTTTATTTCATTCATAAAGTTTAACCCAAACATCTACATCTCTTTCAGAAGGCCGTGCATTGTTTAGCTAATTCAATGTAACAATCCAGAATTCCAGAAGCAAATTCAAGCCGCAGTCTAAAGTAAATCTTTTTGCTGCAAACTCATAATCAAAATTATTGTATTGAAATAACACTACCTTTTTACATGATACTACACAATTTGATTTACATAGTTAACTGAATACCCCCAATCAATGAAGTAACAGATCATTGTTGCATTGCCACATGATATAATTATTATTACACATGTTTTAATAGTAAACAACGATAAGAAATTTCAACTAATTTAGAAAATTTGGTTTAAAATAAGAACCAATCAGAACCAAGACTAGAAACCGTAGTACAAACATGTATATATTGTTAAATGAACATAATTATCGTTGACAAAAATCCACTCAAATGGAAGATTCTAATGAAATTTATCAAGTTGATAAATGTTATCCAAATGGAATCAGTGTAGAAAAAGATAAAGTAGATGAATTCGAAGTTTTTAAAACCGGTTATAGTTTTCATAATGGAATTGGAGTTGAAAAGGATGAATATAAAGCATTCACTTATTATAAATTATCTGCTGAGATGGGATTTTCGGAAGGAATGTGTATGGTCGGAAGTTGTTATGAAAATGGAATTGGAGTAGAAAAGGATGAATATAAAGCATTCATTTCTTATCAAAAATCTGCAGATATGGAATGTGCTAAAGGATTATATTATGTCGGTCATTGTTATGAAAATGGAATTGGTACTGAAAAAGATGAATACAAAGCATTCATTTATTATCAAAAATCTGCTGACATGGGAGATGTTTATGGAATATTTCAAGTTGGAAATTGTTATGAAAATGGAATTGGAATCGAAAGTGATGTATATAAAGCATTCACTTATTATCAAAAATCAGCTGATATGGGAGATGTCGGTGGAATGTTTCAAGTTGGAATTTGTTATGAAAATGGAATTGGTGTTAAAAGAGACGAGCGCAACGCATTTATTTATTACCAAAAATCTGCAGAGCTTGAGTTTCCTGAGGGAATATGTGCTGTTGGGAATTGTTATTTAAATGGAATTGGAATAGAAAAGAATGATTTCAAAGCGTTCATTTATTATCAAAAATCTGCTGATATGGCGAGTGCTTCCGGAATGTATAATCTTGGAGGCTGTTATATAGATGGAATTGGAGTAGAAATTGATGAAAATAAGGCATTTATTTATTACCAAAAATCTGCTGATATGGAATCTCCTCATGGGATCTTTCAAGTTGGAATGTGCTATAAGAATGGAGTCGGTGTTGAAAATGATGATTATAAAGCATTTATTTATTTCCAAAAATCTGCTGAAATGGGAAGTGTTGATGGAATGAATGAAGTCGCATACTGTTATCGAAATGGAATTGGAGTGGTAAGAGACATACAAAAAGCTGATTATTGGTATCGAATGTAAATAAACTATCTTTTATTATTTTTATATTTTTATTTTTATATTTTTTGTTATTTATATATGCATATATTTTTTTTTTATGTTTAAATCAATAATTAGGGAAAAAAATCTAAAACCATGTGAGTTTTCTACAACTATGAACTCAATAAGATACTATTGAAACTAAATAACAAAATATTGCATTAACCTTAGTTACAAATGAATGGATACATGACAACTTGGATATTGATGATAGTCTGAAAAAAATGCTAATCGAAAATAAATACCAATTACTATGGATTCCTTACAAGGAATTTGAAAGTATTAAAGAAATAGGAAAAGGTGGATTTTCGACTGTATTTCGTGCATTATGGGATGATAAAAGTCACAAAACAAAACTGACGGTTGCGCTTAAATTACTTCATGGGTCGAATAATTGCAGTGAAGAATTTATAAATGAGGTAATTTTCATTAAAATTTTTTTGCCATCTTTTTTTCAGAAATTTACATAATAATCGACATTTACTTTTATAATAAAAAGTTAAAGGTATATTGTGATATTAGTTTTAAACAACCGAGTTTTTTAAACTGTTTTGGCATATCAAGACATGATGATTCCAAAGATTATATACTTGTTATGCAGTATGAATCATCAGGTTCTTTACACCAAAATAGATATTCAATTTCACAAATGGGATGGAAAAAAAAATTGAATCTATTAAATTGTATTGCTTATGACCTTCATATAATCCATTCCCAAAATTTTATTCATCGAGATTTACATAGTAAAAATATACTCTTGGCAAACTTCCAGAGTGCATATATTGTAGATTTAGGACTTTCAAAATTAGCTAATATAGGAACCAACGATAAAGTATATGGCATACTCGAATATATAGCACCCGAGGTTTTATATAATAAAGAGTATAGTATGGCGTCTGATGTGTATTCTTTTGGCATTATTGCATATGAAATAGTATCAGGTCTTCGGGCATACCATAATACTTTATATGATATCCAACTATCTCGTAAAATATTTTATGATGGTTTACGTCCAGTCATTCCAAAAAATGTACCAAAATTAGTTGCTAAATTGATTATTAAATGTTGGAATATTCAACCAGACAAAAGACCAACTTCTAAAGTTATATATGACACTATAAATACATGGTATAATGAGATTCTAGACGATAAACCAACCGAAATCGTTGCACAAATAAAGGAGGCAGATAAAATACTTGAATCCAAAATGTCAACATCATCTGATTTCGATACATATCCTGAAACTTGTGTCAGCAGGCAATTTGATGCTCTAAGTGCTATGGATATAGGTAATTATTACTTTATTGTATTATAATGTTATTAACATTCATTTTTAACGATGATAACGTTATTATCAAAGAAAACCAAGTTAAGCAAAACAGTCAAAGCTTATTAATTATGGATGGCACTTCACACGCCGATACAATTATGCATGAACATAGTGATAATCAAAAATCTATCGAAATAAAGAATACAGAAGAAGTATTTAGCCTTGGCATGTGTTATTTTACTGGAGATGGAGTCGAAAGAGATTATAATAAGGCATTTATTTATTTTTATAAATCTTCCGAGATGGGACATACTGAAGGAACATATTTTGTTGGCACTTGTTATGAAAATGGACTTGGAGTTGAAAAGGACGATCATAAGGCATTTATTTACTTTCTAAAATCGGCAGAGATGGGTGATGCTGAAGGAATGTTTAATGTTGGTTATTGTTACAAAAATGGAATTGGAGTTGAAAAAGATGAACATATGGCATTTACTTATTATAAGAAATCAGCAGATATAGGATCTTCTGATGGAATGTGTTATACAGGACATATTTACGAAAATGGAATTGGGGTTGAGAAGAATGAGCATGAAGCATTCGTTTATTATAAAAAATCTGCAGATTTGGAAGATGTTAAAGGGCTATATTCCGTTGGAAATTGTTATGAATACGGAATTGGAATTGAAAAGGACGAAATTAAGGCATTCATTTATTATCAAAAATCGGCAGAGATGGGAGGTGTTAATGCAACATATAGTCTTGCTAATTGTTATCTAAATGGAATTGGAGTTGAAGAAAATGCAAAGAAGGCATTAATTTACTATAAAAAATCAGCTGAGATGGGTGATGCTGAAGGAACATTTAATGTTGGCTATTGTTACGAAAATGGAATTGGGGTTGAGAAAAATGAACATGAAGCATTCGTTTATTATAAAAAATCTGCGGATATGGAAGATGCTAAAGGATTGTATTCCGTTGGAAATTGTTATGAATACGGAATTGGAATTGAAAAGGACGAAAATAAGGCATTCATTTATTATCAAAAATCTGCAGATATGGGAAATGTTAATGGAACATATAGTCTTGCAAATTGTTATCTAAATGGAGTTGGAGTTGAAAAGGATGATCATAAGGCGTTTATTCACTTTCTAAAATCGGCAGAGATGGGTGATGTTGAAGGAATGTTTAATGTTGGTTATTGTTACGAAAATGGAGTTGGAGTTGAAAAAGATGAACATATAGCATTTACTTATTATAAGAAATCTGCTGATATAGGATCTTCTGAAGGAATGTGTAATACAGGACATTTTTACGAAAATGGAATTGGGGTTGAGAAGAATGAGCATGAAGCATTCGTTTATTATAAAAAATCTGCAGATATGGAAGGTTCTAAAGGGTTATATTCCGTTGGAAATTGTTATGAATACGGAATTGGAGTTGAAAAGGATAAAGATAAGGCATTTATTTATTATCAAAAATCGGCTAATATGGGAGATTCTGACGGAATATATAAAGTTAATAATTACTATAATATTGAATGAAACTGTAAATAATTACCAGGCTTTTACAGTCAAACCTCTATATATGCACATTCTATATATGCACACCCTTTATAATTGCACCCTATACCTCAGTCCCAACTAATATTAACACTTATAAAACCACTCTCTATAAATGCACACCCTTCACAAATGCACACTTATGGTCGGTTCCAAGGGGGTGCGTATATGGAGGTTTGACTGTATACTACACGTCACTCTGGTTATACCAACATCTGGATATAACGATATCATAGTAAAATCTTTCTATACCGACAATTTTTTTCAAAATTTTAATATAAAATGTCGGTATGTATAACTCACTGTATCGACATTTTGAAAATTTTTACTAACGTCTCAAAAATGTCGATATAACCAGAGTGACGTGTGTATAATATTATCTTTGTTATAAATAATGAATTGGAAACCAATGAGAGTCTGGTATAGAATATGTTACACAGACCGATTTTACATAGTAACGTTACACAAAAATTTTACACGTTCGTTATATTAATAAACTTATTTTACGAGTTCTGTTCATTTATATGTTATTTTATTTTTTATTTATACGACAAAGTAGAGCATAATTGTTAGCTTTATTGCTCACATTATTTTTTAAAAACAAGTTATTCATTTTTTTTAATTTAACAAGCTACTACTGTATGAATAGAGGGTTATAAGTTTTTTTAGAAACACAAAGTAGAATTTATTAATAAATTTTTTTGATACAACAGATTAAAGATTTTTTACTATATTTTTATGTATTAGACAATCATTCAACATAAGAATTAACAAGATTGGATGAGTTTTAAAGTTCAGTTTTTTGTAACTAATAAATATTTTTTAGCTAAAATATTAATTAAATTTTTAGTTTATCTTTCTTTTGTAATTTTTTTAGTTTGTAAAATTTCTTCAGGTAAAATATTATATACTTGAACAAGATTTTTTTTGTAAAATTTAAACATTTATATATAACCATCTTGGTTTATTTTTTGTGCATATTTAAAACAATAATGCTAAATAGAATTAAAATAACCAAATACAGTAATAAGATTCTTAATAAACTAGCATAATGGTTCAATATGCTGATTAACTGCATGATTTTTTATACTAATTATATTGTGTTTTACAAATTCATTGTAAAGTAACATTATTCTTTTACACACAACTTGAATTGTTATTATTTACTATTTTAAGTTTACTAAATTTGACAAATTAAAAGTTAAGTTTTACTTAATAAACTTAATAATATATATATATATATTTCCCTTAAGCAGTCATGTTAGTACTTTATTAAGATTTTGAAATTACATTTGCAATTACATAAATATTCTTAACAACTAAGTCTAGCATCACCTAGCCACCTTAATGGTATCTAAGTGCAACCTGTCACATTACTTCAAACAGAAGTAGGCTAATTGTCTAATTACTTAAAGTCCATAATAGAAGGGTCTTCTCCCTTTTATGACAAGTACCAAAATTGTTTTTTTGTTTTCTGTTCTAATTTGTTCTGATTTGTTCTTCTTTTTCTCTTATTGTCTCTTTCTTTTCTTTTATTTTTTGCTAATCTGCCTTTTTTTCTTTACTTAATCACAGTTTTTTTTTTCCTTTCTTTTTTTAACCTATTTGTTATTTCTACTTTTCTTTTCTATTTACTAATTTTCTCATATTAGACTCTTCATACTTGTTTGTAAAATGTATTTCAGACTATACTTACTATTACACTTGCAAATTGCTGTCTTGACTTTATGTTTAGAAGCTGTCATAATTGATTTTGTGTTTTTTTTTAAAAATCAGGTCTTCAATTAGAGCCTCTCTCATTCTTACTTCTTTTGCTTCTGTTTTATCAAAGAACACTATGTATAACACATATAGAAGAATTCAGACTTTTTTTTCTTTTTTAAGTCCCTTCTAGACTGTTGCAATGGTTACTTTTTGTATTCTTTTTTACAAGTTTTCTTGTCTTTTACATGTACTAAATGCATTTGTATTTTTTTAATTTTATTTTTATATATTTAGTATTTAGTTGTTGTATACACAACTAGTCTTTTTTGTTAAGTTCTTCTAGAATCAGAAGGTTGTTTATTACATATTTTATAAATATACTTTTTCTGACACTAATTCTTCTTGTTGTACAGTGCACCTTTTTCATTATCTTTAGCTTTTTTCAAAAATATGTTCAATCATAAATTATAACTTCTGATTTTGGTTTTAGTTCTTTAATTGCTCTTGTTTCTCTTTACTCTGTTATTAATCTTGTATTCATTATTAATTTATATAGCAATCTTGCTAATATGTTAGTTCATTTGTTTTCTCATTTTAAGCAGTACTCTATTTTTTTATAATTAACTTTTTTAACCTATATTATCTTCTTGCTTGTTATTCCTTTCTCTGCCAGACTATTATTAGCTTTGTTATTCTATTTATCTTTACTATAACTTTTTACTTTAACTAACTCTATTTGAATGTTTTTTTGTTGTAATAAGGTCTCTAATTTTTATTATCCATATTATATTCTTCTTTTTAAGAATCTTGTTTTATCTGTTAGTTCTAAACCTCTATTAATGTTTCTTATTGTTGCATTACTATCTGTATATATTTCTACTTACTTTTTTTTTAGTATCATTAATATTACTGTTCATATTGTTACTAGCTCAGCTATCATTGATATTTGGCATCCTTTTAGGCCTAATGCTATTTTTTCTTCTGACCATTCTTGTGTTTCATTCATTTGGACCCATCCTATGTCTATTCTATTTTCAGTTACTGTATTTTCTTTGGCCTTAATATTTGCTGTACCATCTATATATATTATATACTTATTCTTGTCTCTTGTTATATTTTTTTTTAAGATTTATATTATTTCTTAGTTGATGTTCTCATTTAGCCTTTGTCATTTAATAATTTCTATTTCTAATTTCTTTATTGTTCTAATCTCTTTGAGTTTTTGTTTTTTAGCTTTTGGTCTTTTCATTTTTATTGTTTTTGTTATCTGATCTATTGTTATATTAATTTTATTACTACTTTTTTTTATTAACATGTTCAGAACTATGTTAATTTTGTTGTTTATTCTAATTTACTATTGGCAGCTATCTTCTGTTTGCTCTTTTGCTCTTGTACAACTCTTGTATTTCTTTATTTTAACAACTAATTTGTTTTCTCTACTTTGTATTTGTCAATGTTCTACTAATATTTTTTTTTCTTTTTTTTAATTATTTTTTTCAACTGCCTATGGTTTTGTGCACCATATACTATCTATTCTTTTTTTCTCTTATCTTCTGATATATTTTTTCATTTAATTTACATTGTCTATATATTTTACCTATTTGTTTTAAAACATCTTTTGACTTCTCTATTTTCTGATTTACTAAGTAATTTTTGTTTTATTAATTTAAACCAATCTGCTTTTTTTTCTCTGCTTGACAGGTCTTGGTAATTTTTTAACTATTGTTATATAACTAATCTTTTTTCTTTTGTA